GAGGGAGGGAATTGTGTTTGTGTGGGTGTGTGTAATTCTTAGCAAATTTTAGGTAGCGTGTAGAAGGAGGAAATTAAAAGTAGTCTTGTCTGTCTCAGGTATGACAGGTATTTTCCGTTTGACATTTTTGCCTGTTGTTTTGGTTTAGTTTTATTTAAATTTTTGTTGCTATTTAGGAAATTTAACTTTCATGTTCTCAAATTTATTGACTTTTCCTGTCATGTTTAGAAAGATCATCTTTATTCCAATTTACACAAATAATGCAAATGCATTTTCTTCTGGAACTTTCATGGTTTCATTTTTTAAAATTTTAACTCCTTGAAGTTTTAAATCTGGTAGGAATGAATTACTTTAGTATAAGAAATCATTACTCATCCAGCTCTGTTTTTAAACTATTTATTTAATAATCCAATAATCCAAGAAATCTTTATCACATCCTAAATTTTCATATGTATGAACATATGTGGGCTCTATTTTCATCCTTTAACTTATTCCTGCATCTGAATTGTTTAAATTATACTAGTTCTAGAATAGATTTTATTAATGTAGATTTAAAATAACGCTTTCAAGTATATAAACATCATTAAAGTACATAAGAAAGTTGGTATCATTTAAGTGATTTTTTTTTCTTTTTTCTTTAATTTTAAAGAATAGTACTTTATTGAATATGTTTCATTCACAGAAAAATAAGCTTTAATCTACAACAAATGCCAGATTATACAGCAGAAATCAATTTTCTTAGTTTTCCATATCGATGGAATGGGTCCTACTAAAAGAACTAAAAGCCATAAAATTATATTCACAAATATAGTACTCTCTCAAAACATTTCACATGATTATTCACAATACTAATACAATGATATAAGAATCAGACATCAGGTTAAATTGTGTCACAGTAATGAAAAACAAAATCTTAACAGAAATTACATTGAAGTCTGCTATAGCAAATAAAAATGCAAATATGTTACTAAGTATAGACAAGATGGTAAAATATACTTACATAATAATATTTTTTATTTATTCTTTTGAGACAGGGTCTAGCTTTGTAGTGCAGGCTGCCCTTGAACTCACTATGCAGTTCAGGTTGGCCTCGAACTTCCAGATCCTCCTGCCTCAGCCTCCTGAGTGCTGGGATTGCAGACGTGTGCCACCACACATGCCCGGCTTTTACATAGCAATTTTAATATTACATTAAATGATATACAATAATCATGTAGTAAATGCCAAAAATCTGTATGCCTCTCTGCAAACTGTAGACTTCAAAATAGAATCTTACCACCCAAACATTAATGTAGTATTATCTAATTTGAAGATATATGTATTTAAGATTGTCCTATTATATCAATTATAAAGTGTCATTTAGCATGTAGTGAAAGTTAGGGTACAGTGGAAAAAATACTTGAAAAAAAGATTTTTAGACTTCCCAGGACAGGTAGGTTGGTAAAATTTTTCACCTTCAACTATGTCCCAGTCACAGGTCTGCCACTAATTAGCTATATATCTTTGAACAAATTAACTCTCCCTTGAGCCTCAGTTGCTTGACCTATAAAATGAAGGGGAGGAATTAGATACTCTCTAAAGTCACTTACAGCTCTGACCCTCTATGATTCTATTATGCTGAGACAGACATCTATATTGTACTAAGTGTATGACTCAAATGAAAACTGATTATTAGGGTGTGGCTAAGTCAATTTTGTTTAGGAAAGCTAGACTGAATTTGGTAAGAATAGTTGTTTTGAAAAAAATTTTTAAAGAATTTAAATATTTTTAAGAGTTTGACCTGTTCGTTTACTTACTATAATAAGTTTCAGTGGAATTTTCTAGGTCAAGGTAAACCCATGGAAGGGTAAGAGTATTAGGATGGGAATTAACATTTATAGCAGGTGCTTTAAAGATATGGTCTCCTTGAACTCTCATAACCTTGGAAGATAGATATTATTGTCATTTCACAGATGAAGAAATATTTACCTTTATTTATTTGTTTGTTTGTTTTGTGAGACAGGGTCTTGTTATTTAGTTCAGCCTGGCCTTGAACTCACTATGCAGCCCAGGCTGGCCTCAAACTCACAGCAATCCTCCTGCATCAGCCTCTCCAGCGCTGGGATTACAGGTGAGTGCTGGGATTATAGGCATGAGCCACCTGCCTGGAGGTTACCTCCTTTTAAACAGCAGATTTGACTAAAAAGAATTATGCTTGTCAAATATTCCTTCTCATTTTCGGAGTTCTCTAATGGCAATGACACAACTTTCTCATTCTTCCACTCCCTTCACCTCTTTTGTCAAATCAATATTTGGGCATCAGTAACAAAACAATGATTTCGGTCTAAAGGAAACAACCCAGGCAACTAACACCAGGATGGTAGCCTTCAGAGTTCAAAATACAAATTTTTATCCATTAAGATGAAAACAGGAAAACTACCTAAATTTAAATACTATAACAAAAAACAACAAAATATCATAATACACATGGCCAAAACATGTTACATACACCTGCTAACCTCACCCTACCCACTTCAGCCATTAACCAAAGGGAGGGGGAAAAACCAAATCTAGCAGGAAAGGCAATACAAAGCTATTAATGAATAAACTGGAATTTATTTTATAAATGCTAAAATCATTTCTCAAAAGTGAAGACAAAGTTTCTAATCAACACTAAATTACTGCATATAAAATAACTAGTTATTACAAAATAACTTCAAGCTTCACATGACTAAAATGTAGTAAAACAGGTGTTGAATTCAAAGTCCTAAAGTGAACTTTATACAGAAAAAGAAATGTATACGTGTAAGCTACTGAGAACTATTCCAGGGAGAGTGTGATTTGGATCTGGTTATATTTTTGACCTTGCAAGTGATCAATTTTTGTACAATTAGAAAGGATCCAGTGCTTTTTTGTAGTGTGAATACAGGCAAACTCTGGTAAGTCTCCAAAAAATTTGATTAGAAGTTGGAGTGCTGAAGCAACAGCATTTTGAAACAATTCTTAAAATAAACTCGTTAGCCACATCAGCTTCATGCATTAAATTTCACAACTCATGGAGAGAGAAAAAAGGTCTTGCTTAACTCTAAACACAAGTTTTAAAAAAGAGCTTTAATGAACTGAGGTTTCCAGACCAGTGAAAGCCTTATGCTGAAACAATTCAGTTCCATCCTTGGCTAACAACTAGATTCTATTACCTAGCTGACTTGGGCCTGAAGTGTCCTGGAGAAAATATTTTTAACACTTCTCCCTTTATAGAACGCTTTAAATATAAATTTAAAGCTTTGCCCATATAGATCAAATTCAACTTAATGAATATATAAGCAAACCTAGGTGGAAGATAGAGCAAAGG